ATCTCACAGATAGAAATTGCGAGGCAAATAATTTCGATTTTGTTGATTAATTCTGAATGTGCGACTGCTACTAATTATTGCCTGACACTGTACATGCATTTGCTCCATGACTCGGCTGAAATTCACCGATATATACACCGATATATTGTATACTTGTACAAACAAATGCCGGGGTCTATGTAAAATATTTTTTTTATATTTTTATTTCTATTTGTCCAGCTGCGGGCGCACGTGTCGTTGCCCCTGTCCCTGTCACTGTCTCTCTCGTTCTGGTGGTCTGTCCCCGGGGCTTTTTATAAACATTTCTCGAGATTTCTAATCTACATAACAACAACAGGAACAATAATAGCGAGATAGACAGAAGTATCAGCAGCAGTAACAATCGCAATTTGTGTTCAAAATATATTATACATGTAGCTCTCAGACCCGTTCCACTTGATTCTGTGTTGTTTCGGTTTAATTTCTGATTATTTTCGCTTTTACTCCCAGCTCTGTAGTTGGTTCTTATCAGGATTTCATATGGCATTTCGTACGTTGTCACTTTATTGTTTCTGATTTCACCTCGACTTTGAAATTCAAAATTTCGCAAGCTGATAAGCTTAGGCAATATCAGTCAAGTTAATGCCGTTTATATGGTTTAAGACTCAGCCTTCCGTAAAGGGTCTATTTTGGGTTCTGTCAATTAAGTTTGATCACGATTAAAGGCTATTCGCCATGCCCCAGCTAGCTAAGTACACCCCGTTTTTCGATTAGCCCTTCGTTGGTCTGCTGATCGCATCAATGTCGTTCGCACCTGTCCCAAATTAAAGGTGCGAATTACCTGGGGTGTGTGGAGTGGTGTGCATAATTGCACCAACAAGTGTTAGAGTAGAAAACGAAACTTTGCCTCACCACTATTTGTGGAAGTCATCAGCGATTGATGCGTTACTCAAGTCACAGTGGACAGAAATATACAAAAATGAATACTTCTATTAATTTAGGAATACGTACTATAAAGTGATATACATTTCTACCTTAACAAATTAATTTAAATCAGTGCAAATAGTTTTTTAAATAAAATATACCCTAACTAAACAAGTTTCTGAGTTATTTTGTTGTTTACCCGTGTGAACGAATATATTAAGGCAAGTTTGTAGCATTTATGCATCTATTATTGAGTAATATTTATTAATAAGGCTGTTGATCAAGTGATTAGTTTTAGATAATTTATGATATGAAACCGTGAAATATATGTTAAGTGCTTCATTAAGTAAGATTTAAACACAGTATCAGATATTGTTAAATTTAAACTGTTTGAATTCCTACTAGTTTCTGCCTCTGATAATCTATAACGTGATGGAAGGGGAACTATTTCATTGTTCAAACATGATATACACACAAGTATTTCAATATTTATACGTGTTTACGTTCCATTTACTGTTCCTAAGCTCCCAAACACACTGTGTTTTTGGATTCCCCAGTTGGAAAACAAACAAAGGTGGCTTCCAAATACGTTTCACCAGGTCTGGCAAGTGCAATTGCTATCGGTTGCTGAGGGGTTTTCCTGTGGCTTTCGTGATTACTCTACGGCCATGCAACCGAGGGGGGTAGTAAACAATAATAAAATAATACAATAATACCATAATAAAATAACACTATAACGCAGACGGGGAGCTGTATACAGATAAGAGCCGGTCACACATGCTACTGGAAAACATGAAATCATGAAAACAATCCACACAAGTGCCGGGGCCTGTCACTCCATTTCGACTCGCTTTGAGCTCTGTTTGCTCTGTGCTTGCTCCAAATGTTGATGAAAAGCCAGTGCCATTGCATTTCAATTTTACGTGGAAATTCACTGAAACCACGTAACGCTTTCGATTAGTAACACGTGACCGTAAAAAACGTCCGGAGCATGTGAGCAAGTAAGTGTATTACAGCTGAGATAAGAAGGGAGCGACTCACATGAGTAACGGTGAGCCAGTTTTCAGTTGCTGTTGCACGTGCCCTCCACCGGGGCGTATGTGTAATATTCAGAGTGTACACGTTACGTATACGTAACGCCATGCAATGCGATCCCTGATGCACGTGCCAAAGCCGCCGCCCTGCAATTAAAACGAAAAGAAAGAGGGTGAGAGAGTGAGACAGATCAGCGAAATGCCGAAACCAAAACAAAAACAAGCCCCAGGCCCAGGTCCCAGTCCCAGGCACAGACTTATGCAAGTCCAGTGCCCAATTGGACACGTTTATGTCATTCGTCATCGCGGATCACGGTGCACGGAGCTCGGAGCACGGATTTCGGATTACGGGCTACGGACTGACCTTTAGGGGCAGCTAAAAATAGCCAGAAACAGCCATTTAAATACATCAACACGCTGGAAAGCCCAACACAAAGGAATACAGTAAGGCGTCGATTAGATGAATTTTTGAAAAGCGATAAAAATATGGTTTTTTCTAACATAAAAATATTACTATATTTAAATGTAATATATATATATAAATATTAAAATAAATAATAAATAATAAGTGTATATGAATATAAATATGGCATATCAGAAAATTCAAAAATTTAAAACAATATTAATTAATAAAACGCTTTTTATTTTTCTAAAAAATTTTTCTTTATAGTTTGGGTTAAGGAATGCAAACTGTAAAATCCGAAATCAACTTGAACACAAACAACAGCGTTTTGTTAATGCGAAAACATTTCAACAACACGTGACCAACAACAAACTTGAGCGCCGTCTTGGTGTGTGTGTCCGAGTGCGAGAGTGTGTATTTGTGTGTGTGACATGCTCGGCTCGCGTGAGAAATTACGTCATGCGCCACGAATTTTTGTGTTGTTATTATTTGTTTCTTGTTGCTTTTTGTTTTTTGTTTGCCACTTTCAACGTGTCTCGAATAAAAAACAGAGTCCCAGAGGGAGAGGGAGGCGGAGAGAGCCACAGCGCGATAGGGGCAACGTTGCGTATGATTATTATTTCGTTTATTAAACGACAACAACAGTAAGCTAAAGCCGCCACGACTGTTGCGCTCTGTAATAAAAACAAAATGTCGGCCGAGTGGTAGTTCGGCCGGCCTATGTATGTATATGTGCGTACGTGTGTGTCCGATTGTTGTTGCCAAGCGCTCTTTATCAGCTCAATGCTCTCTCTCTCTCGGTGCACGCTCTCTCGCTTCTCAGCCGCCGCCCAGTTGACTTCGCCGTTTCGCTTTGGAATTTGTCACGTTCACGTGTTTTATTGTATGCCGCTTTGCTTGTTGTTGTTATTGTTCGCCTTGAGCTTCTGCGTCGTGGTTTTTTTATTTTATTATTATATACTATATTTTTTCTTTGTTTTCTTTTTTTTTGACAGCAGATACAATGGCAAGCCATTATAACGGTACCTTTGAGGTTTGATCGCCTCCAAAAGATACATACATAAATAAAAAACAAATATAAAATAAAGAGAAGAACATGTATGTTGCACTTATTTATGGGAATCGCACATTTAGTTGGCTCATTAATATAATTCACACGCAACTAATTTATGCCTGTCTAGCAACAACAACGACAATGCCAACTAACATATATGTATTGTATGAGTTGTGGTTGTGTAAGTGCCGTGAATTTACCAGTACAAGCACCGAGTTATAGAGTCGTCTAGTCATCAAGCCCCCGAAACGGGGCAATCGGCGGCACAGTGGTGCGGGTGGATCGAAAAGGTCACCATACGTGCAGCCGAAGGTCGCGTCGTGTAAGTGGGCAGACTGTCTGAGGCGTGACTTCAAAAATACCAATTTCAATCAGTTGAAACCTGTTTTTATGGAGGCTCTCCTGAGATCTGGGGTACTATTACTTTTAATGTAAAATCAAGTCTGAATCTACACATAAACAGTAAATGTCTAAAAGAGATATTTCATAAAATTAAGATGCTAATCGTTCTAGCTTTGAAATCCATTGAAATTATTAAATTTTTACAATGATTATGAAACCTACAATATTTTGCATCCGCTTTCTGGATTTAAAAATTCGTGTAAATAGGATTTCTTTCTTTATATTCCATCAATAAAACCACAAACATTAAAAACAAATAGGTAAACAAACAATCTAGCAAATTGAGCAATCTGTCTTTTGCAAATCCCCCATGAGCCAATCTCGGTGGGGACTTTTGTGACCGTAAAATATGGAATTTGGTCCCACTGTGGCAATCACGTTCGCCGCACACGAAATGCGATAACACACACACCCACACAGCACAGGCACACGCACAGTGGAGACGGAGGCAGCCGCAGCCGCTCTCTGGCGTGTTATCTACCACCACCCCCCGGCGCCCCACACGCCCACTAACACATGTTGCTCTCTCCCGTCATCGGCAGACATGTTTGTGTTGCCAGTTTAGCTAAAATAGAGAAGCTTATACAAGTTGCAAGTAGCTTATACCCTTAAATATGGCATGCATGTATGAATGTACATACATGACTGATGTAAAACCTGATCAGCTGACAGTTTTCTTTATAAGCAATTTGAGGGATCAATAAATAGAATTACATTCATAGTTTTCTTGTAAAATATAAGCAAAAATTTTCCACTGGAGCTTATTAAGCAAATCTAAAAATTCTGTAAAACATACAATACTGTATAAATTATTACTTTGCGGTTTTTCTATATATTTTCCATTATTAAACTGTACATATAAAATGTGTTATTTTTATATTTACCCCATTTCTAGCTCATAGCGCTCAGCACTGTTGCACGTCATCAATGTGGAGCTTTCGCTCGCTCGGCTCTTTTTTTGGGGTCTCGTGCCGCTCGCCGAGTAGCGATTCATTCATTTCGTTTTTGCTTCGGGCCGCGAACGGACGTAAAAAAGCGGTGAAACGCTACAGTGACAGTGCAAAAATATAAAAAGAAATAATCAAACCAAATCCAAAAAAGAGGGAGAGAGCATATAAAATACAAAAAAAAAAAACAGCAAAATTAGCTGGAGGAGCAACAACAAATTTGATATATAAATATATATATATCTGTATGTGCTTTAATAGTGAAACACGCACACACACACTCGCACACGCACGTTGTCCGCTCGCATCCGCAGCTGTATGAGTGTGTATATAGGCGGCTGGTAAAATTCCACTGTGAAACGAAAGGAAGTTATTGTTGTTGCATATTAACAAAACAAATAACAGTGTACTCTGCTCTCGGTGTGTGTTGTTAAATTTAAAAAACGTGTAAGCAGGCAGGCGAAAAATAACATAGGAATACCAGCAGTATTGCAGAAAATAAAACAAAAGGCGGGCACGTTTTTCGACATTGTTTTCTTTGTTTTTGTGTGCACCGCCGCTCTCGCGAGAGAAAAGGGAGCCAACGAGGAGTCGCGCAGGGTGCGAGCCTGCTCCAACAAGTGCACTTTAATTGCTGCTCCAAAAATAGAGTACAAAATAAAACCGTTCGTTCGGGTGAAAATAACGCGACGTTATCGCTATCGTTATCGCCCACACGCTGCCCGTACGCGCACACATACACTCGGACACTCGAGACGTCCTGATAAGCGGAAAGAGTAAACATCCACACTTATCAGCATATTCCACTCGTTCCAACATAAATATAAACACACGCTTCGAAATGCCATTCTAAATTTGAAACAAATCCGGGAAATACAAAGAATAAACGTACCTAGGCTCGCCGCCAGCCAGCAGAAGAAAAGAGTAATTCGCCCCGCAATCGAATTCGCCGTAGTCTCAGCAGTTGCCTTCGCCTTCGCCGCATCGACAACCTGTTTGCTCGGCCATAACTCGCCCCGGCATTTATCTCTCAATTATTTCTGCATTGACGTAAGGAGCCGAGACCACTTCCACCATTCCACCGCAACTGCAGCAAACGACGGCGACGCAGCAGCAGCAGGAGCAGCCAACGGTCATACTGCCCAGGAGCGGATTCATAAGCGACATCGGAGTCCGGCGAGGATCGGGGAGTGGATCGCGGAGGAGCAGCGGTAGCGGCAGCGGCAGCGGCAGCCCCACCATGGAGCCCTACTGGAGCGAGGCGAACGGACACGCCGCACATCCGGTTAAGTATGAGAGGTAGGTATGACAGCCACAGATCCGCTGGACTGCAAGTCGAATGATCAATAAAATCGAAACAATGCAAAAATCCAAAAATCCGAAATCAAAATCGAAGCCAAAAAAAAAAAAAAACAAAAAAAAAATCACTTTCACCTGCGCGCGTTTAGCTTAAGCACACAGAGAAAAAATATCACAAAGGGTAAAAGCAATTTACCATTTAAAAGGGTTAAATAAAGCAAAGAAAATTGTTTACTGCAGTCAAAAGTATGAATGAAGTATTCTTTAAAATAAATTGATATCAAATATCCATCAGAGATTAACAAAATAAGCCTAATTTGTGTCTAAATATGTTGTATTTAACTTTATATACTACTTTTTCTAAAGTAACACTTAAATATTGGTTTTTGTATTGAATTCCCAATACATTTTTAAGGTCCCGCTGGTTAGATCCAAAGGATGTCTTAATTATTTTCTACTAAAAGTAATTCTGCCTATTTATTGTGAACCATTTTGTGATACTTTTTCTCTGTGCATTAATTAATGGTTTAGTGTAGATCTTAGACTCGCATTTAGTGGTTTTAGCCTAAGTCTTCGCCTCTTCTATATCATCATTATTATTATTTTTTATGCGTGTGTGCTTGATAGGATCGGGTGTGGATCACTGGGGAACTCTTTTGGATATTAAAGTGTGTTTGTGTGTGTGTTTTTGTGTGGGCCACGTATTTTTAGCCAACGAGCTAGAAAGCAATTTTGAATTTGCAAAACAAACGCGAAATCGGGCGAAGAAAACGTGGGCAGACTCTGTCGCCGGTCTATTCTTAGTTGAGATTTTTGCTTTAGTTTTGCTTTATTTTTCTGTGTTTGCCAAAACAAAAAAAATAAAGCAAGCAAAAAAATACAAAAAAACCAACGCACGACTTGCCAAACGTGATGTTCCGTTGATTTTCCCTGCGAGGTTTCCCCTTCCACCTGCCCAACGAATTTAATTTTTTGAACTTGAATTTCGTTTAAACGTGCCCGAGTGGAACCACAAAAAAAGCTGCGTTGGTGTGGCCAGAGTTGCGATAAATAAATTAAGGCATTGATGTGGCCAGGGGCAGCTATAAATAAATAAATTTAAGCCGAGTACTATTTAATTTTTAACGTATTTATTTCATTAAACTTGAATTTGGGCTTAAACTTGACCGAGTAGATGTGGATGGAGTTGGGATAACTAATTAAAGCGGAGTCCTTATGGACTTTGGTTCCTGTCTGGTAAATGTCAACGGCCAAAACGTGGCTATAAATATCAGTTAACAACAGCGTGGCAGGCCCTTTCCCAACTCCATCGGATTGGGGGTGGGATGGGTGTGCGTTTCACGTGTCTTTGTTCGGGCTTATCGAGGGCGTGGGACGGGGTGGTGTGTTGTGGGTGCCAGTCGGTGTCCTTTTGAAGGTCAACAAGTTTTGTGTGTTCCCTCATGTTTCTGCTGTTCTAGCTGCTGTGTTTTTTTTGATTGAGCATTGTATTTGGCTATTTTGGTATTCAGTGACCACCACCATGGCTCCTGGGAGCGTTTTCCTCTATAAATACACAAGGGCTAATCGAATGAACCGCTCATCAAATATGCAGCCCCATTTGATTGGCCTTAGTTTATGTTTTCGTTAGGGTTTTCGATAGGGTTTGGGGTTTTTCCAGTTGTTTTTTGGGTTTCAGCTGTGATTGGTTTTTTTCTCCGTGGGGGGAAAGTTACCCACGGCGTATGAATGATTGTGATTACGTATACGTCACGTGTGCCGTCTAGTCGCTATATTTAGCTTGAAAACTTGAAACTAATGAGCGAAACAGGTTAAATACGTTTTTAAACGATCGGTTCGGTGCGAATATAATCTTTTCCACGCGTGATCAAACGACAAAAAATAGAATAAACATTATAAATTCAGTTTGCCCCTGCGGTTGGATGCCTTATCAAATGGCACTTGGGGTAAACACGCGTCTTTGTCGCCGCTGAAGTGTTTATAATTTGCATTACGCGCTGCCATCTTAATCAACACCAAACCCAGGCAGTAAAAAACAACGAAAAATAACGGAGAGAAAACACACAAATATCTATAGAGATAGGCAAACACGCGATAAAAAGCCAAGCGGGCGTGACGCACAATCGCCCTCGGAAAGTATAGTGTATCTCTATCTCTATCTCTATCTGTATCTATATCTATAGCCCCCATGTGTATCCATCAAGTGTCCAGAGTTGTCAAGCGTCAGTGAGATCTCGGGTTTGTTGCACGACGAGACAGTTGCTAAGCCCCCCTAAATGGAAAACAAAAAATTATAAAAATAATAATAATACACTCCCCAACCCCATTTAATACTCAGCTGTCTCTCGTTGTTTTCGATTTCGGGATCTTGTCAACGACGCCTACGGACGATCTAAAGACCCTGACCCAGTAATTAGTGTTATTTACGGTGGAAAAATCCAATGGAAACCCAACAAAAATTGCACCGGCCTGAGAACTCTGAGAAAGTGTGTTTGTTTGCTGGCTACGTCTGTGTTACAGAAATCCAGATTGGATTCCCTGTAGGCTTATCAACTCACAGATGTTCAGCAAGACAACACGTCAAAATAATCAACAAGGATATGCAAAAGTTAACAAGAAAACTCCAATGGAAATGCGGTAATAAATATGAATTTTGTAAAGTGATTAAGTATGTGATTTCTATGAGTTACAATTTTAAGACGATCAAGAATTCAGAGTGCAATTATTTGCATTCATTTCAATGTACTCAACAAAGGTTAATACCCTATAAATAAATTCTAAAAAAACAACAATATTTACTAATTAATTGTCAAAATTCCCATATAAACACAGTTGTTTATAATTCTTTCACTTTTTCGATCCAATATATATACATATACATATATCGTATATCGTGTTTATCAACAAAACAAACAACAAACGCATGCTGCAGGCTAAAAATAGCCTCAGAACGGAGAGTGTTATAAATTATATGGACAGATACATCTGTATATATCCCGTATGTGTCCGGGACGAACCCCGAACCGATCTCGATTTCGATCTCGATCCGATCCGCATCGATCCGTTTCGCTCCGTTTCATCGCCGGTCTTCTTATCGTCTTCGTCATCGTCCGTTCGGTTCGACGTCCATTGGCATTTGAGAGGCGGGCACGTAGACCCTGCAACGTTCACGTTCCATGCCAAAGCTGACCCCCCTCGGAAAACCCCCAAACCCCCAAACCCCCATTGTAACCTCTCTGAAACGTGCTGCAGATATTGTGAAATTCACATAGTATATATACATATATGCACGGGTATGTGGTGGATTTTCGTGACTGATGTGATTAATGCACTCCGCTCGATGCTTTTTTGGCGGGGTCCGTTGATGGTGGCAATGGTGGTGACTCATGACCACTGCATTTGATTGCCGCTAAACGATTTAAATAGATGGATTTGAGTGTCTTTTGACCCAGTTATGGCGAGAGTGCGGAGCGGTTCATTCATCTCATCTGGGGAATGCGGATGGGTCTGACTTTGGGGAAAAATGCAAATGGATCCGGGGGGATGCATATCTGGGCTGTACGATTAACGTTGGAATTTGGAGCGTATGTGGGTGGGAAAACCATTTTTAGTAAACATTTGCATATGTTAAACGGGGTAATAAAAGTAAACAGTTCCTTATGGAGCTCTTAATTATAATAGTGAATGGTTTTTGTGAATGATTTGCATACAATAGTTGTGGTAAAGGTAATTGTTTGTCTCATTTGTATACCTTTCTCTATTCCCAAATGTTTTGTCATTGATTAATAGTTGTCATGTGAAAATGGGTCTAAAAATAAGTAGTTTTAATTCAAATTACTGAATAATCTTTCAAGTGTTGTGCATAAATTCTCAACCAATGGTGACTTATATCACCTTAAATCGTCGTGGGCGAATTTCATAAGCCAGATTCTCTCAAACTGTGCTGTTGTACTCCGCCTTTTGTGATTCACTTTCCTTGAAAACAAAGACAGCTTTATCTCATCATCCGAAGCTACGAGATTTCCATTTGCACATTTCCAGTGAATCTTGAAAATTCGATGGCTCCGACAACAGTGTGCGTAGAAACCTCCTACAATTGGCCTCGGTAGTTGTATCTGTGTCTGTTGCCTTTTGTATCTGTATCTTTTGCATGGCATATACACACATGTATCTGTTTATACTCATACCGAGTTGCTTTTCGCTTAGACAGCACGCCAGAGAGCCATTTGTAGGGGTACGGACTATTGCCCTCGCCACCGCAATTTCATCAATTTCGTTTCCATTTTCAGTTCCTCGATTCCACCAATCATTCCCCCGCAGCGAATCCAACCTATCCAAAACCCTGTTGCCGAGCAAACCATCCGGCACGTGCACACGTTTGTGTTGGTAAAAGTCTGAAATTGCTGCGATTCGAATTGCGCTGCTGCTGCAATTTTTCGGCGCTCACATTTTTCTGGTCTTTGCACTTTGGCCAATAACAATTATATCACGTGCCCGACGAAACGTAGTTTTTCTTTCTCGTCTGTATTTATCTGAATATTTATGAGTTGTTTGGCAATTTCCAGTTCCAGTTTTAGTTTCAGTTCCAGTCGACGGCATCTCACGTGATGGGCGCATCGCTCACCTGACCGCAGATGCAACTTTTCGAGCGTAATTGGCGCTAATCTAGCTTGGGCTATATATTCGTGATAAATCTTATCAGCCAAGCGCAGCATTCAAGGTCGACGATCAGGCGAGAACCGGACTAGTCCAGTCCCCAGTCCCAGACCCGCCCACTTTGTTAATTAGACACACATTGAGCACAGAGATTCTTCTATTCTATTTATTTTGATTTATTTTTTGTTGTTTCCCCCCCCCCCCCCCCCCGTCTTTGGCGTCTTCACTTGTCTCGGTTGTTTTCCGCTGTTGATGCTGCCCTCGAAGATTTCACAATTCAAAATCTGAGACATAGACGGAGCGCATTTCCATTGCCCAATGTCGATATGGAAATTTTTTGTGACACAGATCGGCGGCGGAAACTGTTGGCATTGAATGTCCACCGTTAACCATCTGGGTTGTATAAATAATTACACAGCGAGAAATGGTTCTTATTAGCACAAGAACTTGGATATATATAAATAAAGATCTGGGGATCAAAGTTAATATTTGAGAGCTAATAAAATGTACACATTGGTAGAACTAAAACAGGCGAGATTGCTTTACATTTCCTATATATTTTAAAGTATTAAATAGTTTAATTTTTAATAATTTTCCCTGCCTTATATGGCCATTGTTATGCTTTTAGCAGATACTATATATGAATCACATCTGAAGTGAGTCAACAGTGAATGACACTTTGGCTGTTGATTAACTTTGAATTTTTCGGTCATCAAGATATGACTGTCCCAAGAGCATTGTCATTATAGTACCATACATCTCAGAGGAAGCGGGGGATTATTTACTAATCTTAATAGCTTGTTTTGGTGTGTAATTCTTGGGAATTTCCCGACATGAACTGCCAAGTACTAGTTGTATTTGGCTTATATCAGTTTGCTGTACTATTTATGGCACTCGAAATGACCAACAAATAATGGCAGAAAAACAGCAAAAATATTGCTAAATAACATAATAGAAAGGCCGTCGTCACGTGTTGCTCTGTAATCTTATCATTAGAGGGTTTAACTACCCACGATAAGGGCAGGAAATGGTTAGATTCGAATATCAATGAACCAAGTTGAGAGATATCGAAGTGAGCGTGTGCAAAATATATTATATATTACTACGGGCCAATTATCACCGACTCATGCGTAGACAAACGTGCCCAAAAGCTCTCATTCTAAGTGGGATCCGGATGGGGGAATGCTGTCCATGCCTTTGGCAAACCACGACGACTGATCGATCGGAACTGTCGTCATCGGTGGCAGGGTCGCGGACTACCTGTGGATCTCGCCCTCGTATTTTGGCGTACTTTGTCTTTCTGTGCCAATTACTTAATAGTGCGATGACAAAAACGGCTGAGAACGTAAACAAAACGCAAGCCATTTCACTGGGCCAGCGCCATCGACATCGACATCGCCATCGCCATCTTTTTTTGTGTGTGGGGGTGGCGGCATCTTGCCAACTTTGGGAATTTCGGGGCATCTTTGGGGGTGTTCTTAGTCCACATATTCTCATGAATCAAGCGAGTGATACTCGCTGACTGACGTTTGTTCTCAGACTCTGCTCTTTTGGCCAATGATGTAAAGTGCGCCAATGAGTACACGCCCTGTTCACGGGATTGTTTGAACGCGATTTCCCGATGGCGCAGCCCCCAAAATTAAAAACAAGCCTTCGCAAATAACAATCTGATCAATTCGATAGAATTGTATGACAAAGAACAATGGGAGAGTCATTTAAATTGAATTTATAGATAAATTAATCATTGGGCACAAACCCTTTTCGATTATTTAAATATATTCTGGGAATATTGATCCATTTTATTTATGTTTTAATGACTAGTAATGATTGTTTATAGTAATTGTAATTAATCAATACATCTAGTTCAGTTACAAGTCATTATTATTTAAATATTCAAAACTAGTTTTTCTAGTAAAATCAATTGTTTGGCAAGAAAACTAGTTAAATTAAATTTAAATCAATCAGAAAACTAGAAAGGAAACTAACTTTGGGAACTTTATATATTCATGAATTCGATCATAACTATTCTTAAAATATTTGCATTCTTTGAATAGATATTTATTGATTTGTTCATAACTTAGCTAAAAGAGCATTAATTTTAATTCGGTAATCACTCCAATTTAGTTTTCAGAAGTTTAATAAATCTGCATACTCAATTTTAATTTTGAAAAAATTACGATTTTGATCAAATTTTGGCAATTTCAACGGTGTAACCCCTTATAAAATTTTTAAAAAATCTGGAAAATTTATTTTTTGACCGGACAAAGCTAGATTGATTCCTATGTTGATGCTGATCAAGAATATATATGACTTATTCATTCCTTCACAAAGTTACAAAGCTTCTGACTCTGCAAAACTGTATTTTTCTTAAATTTACCCTTCAAGAACACCCTCAATCTGTCTCTAAATCATTTATAAATATTGTCCCAAGTGCAGTCGTCAACCTGCACTCCCCCCAATGGCATTGATGATGTGCCACGCCCAGTTTGAAATCACTTATTTGTTTGCATTACTCATACGCAGTGTGAGCCAGCGTGTTGAAGAACTGGTGGACCGATAATTGGCCACGGTTTACAAATCGAATTCAGTAAATTGTGCTAAATGTTGAGATGAAAACAAGTTGCTGACGCCTTTTTTTTGATTAAGAGAGAGAGAGGGCGGAAGGGGCGGGGCCAAGTCGATTTAAATCGGATAAACAAGTTCTAGGCGCCGGGGACTGGTGCGTTCTGGTATCTCTCGCCAATGTATATATACATATGTATACTATATGTGGACGGATAAATAACGCATATATATATAGTATATGATTTGTTTGTTGTCGCCCCGCTTATCGCCCAGAGCCATGACACTTATTATTACGAGCAGCAGCAGGCCACTTTATTTTATTTTGGTTTCTAGCGCTTTCGAGCCGTTTGTCTTGGCCGTCTTACCATCATCGTTATGATGTGTGTGCCTTTTGTTTTGGTTCGAGAAATTGGCATTCAATGGGTCTGTTAAATGTAGAATCGTGTAGGATGTGCTCTATTCTGTGTGTGTTTAGTTTACTCTATGATATTTCCTCTGCAGCGGCGCTTGGCAACTAATTTTCTGGGATTTCTTATAGTTTTTGTTGTTTCTTTACAAAAATGTTGTTCGAGTTTTTGCGCTCAGATTTTTTATTATATTTTTGTTGGCACATGGCAATAAAAACGTGTAGAGTCTAAAATTAGATGGCCCGATATATAGAATTATGTATGTGTATATGGAGTACACACATGTATGAAAACGTGTGGCATCTGGCGGGGCAAGTTCTTGAAATAAATAATGAAAATTAAATGGCTTAAGCTAGTAAAAATGGTTTTACGTAGAGTGTGATTGATGGGTTATACTCAGAGATCTTGTTGTGACTGTGGGATATATTTTATATATAATTGTAATGACTTAAGAGATAGTATTTTAGTTAGGAAAAGACAGATCCACACCCGATTGTTTATCTTGATAATTCGTGTGTTCATGTGAGTGATGATAAGTTCCTGGACATGAAGACCCTTCCTGTGGACTGTGTCCCTCCTGCACCTGCACAACTACGTATTGTATTTGCTCTAATTGTAATTTAAGGAATTTGCACCTTGTTTTACTACAACACAAACCAAACAAAACGCTCGTTTGATTTTAGCCAAGCGACCAACCACTCTCGGCCCAAAAAAATCCCACCTAGCTGAGGGAGAGAGCTCCTTGGGAGGCACTGAACCAGCAACATGTTTAATTTTTTGTTCTTTCTGTTCCATTGCAGCCTTAATTTATTTTACATACGTTTTTCGAATAAAGAAAATAAATAAAAGCAAAACAAACCAAATTAGTTTTTAACGCTTTTAACTATTAATCTTAGATTAATTAGCTTTAGTTACTACTCCTAAGTCAGTCTAAGTTATGCGCCTAATAAATGCATTACTAAAACGAAAAAAAAAAAATCTGAACCAAAACGAAAATCTGATCAAAACAAAACAACAAAATAATAATATTAAAACATTTTTGAACAAGATTTGGACTTATCTGTGTTTCTTTATCCTTCCCACTTCTTTTTGCATATCGAAACGAATTATAGCGAAGCAGCTGTCTCCAGTTTTCCTTATTGCACAGAATCTAGTTTAAATTTTTCAACATCCGCCACGGCATACAGCGAGGACGATGCTGAATATGCCACCGGAAGACGTAATAAAACATCGAGGGTAAATATTACAATTTTAGAGAGCGACAAAAAAAAAAAAAAAAAAAAAACAACTCGCGATCATATTTATTTTCGAATTTCGAATCAATTGAACAAAAGAAATTAAAAAAAATGCAAGCACTGAGACATGATCAAAGGATCAAAAGAGCGTTAGAGCAGCGCAAGGATGATGACGCCCACGGCCACTAGTTATCACACACTTCTCACCCCACCAACCACCACCCACTACTACACACACGAGCAATGACCTTGAGCCATGATGCCGCCCAACCCCCCCCGTCCGCCATCGATCGACGCAGCCGACACTTTTGACCCTTTTTTTTATTGTTAGCCGAAATTGATGAAAGAATGATAATAAAGCGAAAAAAGAGAACCGAAATTAGTGAAAAATAAAGTGAAATGAAATAGCAAAAGAAAAACGAACAATCATTTAGGTTTAGGGGTCGTAAAAAGCCCAAAAAAAACCACCCCCTATAATGGGACCTATCGAAACGCACCCCTTCGTAAATGTCACTAACCAGAACTTATGTACACCTATCTATCCATAGCAAGATCCGCTCTCCCATCGCATTATCGAGAAGAGGAGACGGGATCGGATGAACTCCTGCCTGGCGGATCTATCCCGCCTCATCCCGCCGCAGTATCAGCGCAAGGGGCGTGGCCGGATCGAGAAGACAGAGATCATCGAGATGGCCATCCGTCACCTGAAGCACCTGCAGAGTGAGTGCCAGCAAAAGGAGAGTGACTATCGGAGTGGCTACATGGACTGCATGAAGGAGGCGGCCAAGTTCCTCTACGACGTCCACATGCAGGACTTTTGCCATCGCCTATTGGGTCGCCTGCAGGAGCACATCGATGAGATGTTCAAGAGTGAGTCCTTATGAACTTAAACGTAGTGAATCAATTAGCTAATCTTTGTCTCTTTCCCTTTCCAGCGGATTGCTACAAGTCAACGCGCAGCTGCCACATGCCGGACAATGTGAGTGCCTCGAGTGGCAGCCCGCATCAGGCTTACCATCCTCCGCTGTGCCACCTGCGTGACATGCTGGGCGCCGCCTCGGCCTCGGATGTGGAGCACAGCCAGGATCACAACGATGTCAAGGATCTGAGCTTCCGCAATCATCTCAATCAGCTGCAGAGGAGTCAGCAGGCGGCGGCGGCAGCAGCAGCCGCTGTCGTTGCTGTGGCCAATGGCAGCTCGAATGGCGGTCTAGAGTCCAAGGTTCCCCTGACCAATGGAGCTGTCAATGGTGGTGCTTCGTTAGCGGGCGACAATGTGCCCAGTAATTCCACGGGAAGCGTAGCCGGTGCAGTGGCCGGTGGCAATAACAACAGCAACAGCAGTGGCAGCAACAGTAGCAGCAATGCGGCTAGTTCCACCACCTGTCCTCCGGCGCCCAAGGTCACTCCGCTGGCTGCCCATCAGCAACCGCATCAGGCGCCCGTGATCACCTCCACAGCCCCCCATCATCATCATCACCACAACACGGACAGCAGCCATCACGACTTTGAGTCGTCGCGGGAACCGATCCTTCACACAGACACCTCCAACATGCACTCGCCGCCGCCCAGGGATCTGCTGTTGCAGCAGCATCCCCATCTGGCTCATAGCCACCACACCCAGGACAGTCTGCTGTCCGTGCGGATGCGTAACTACTCCGAGTCATCGCACGAGGTGGAGCACAACAACAACTACAAGTACAAGAACCACATCAAGGAGCGCTTCGTCCACGAACTGCATGACGAGGAGACGAGTAGCGAACACTGTCCAGTGGCTGCTCACCTGCAGAGCGATCACTCGCATATGCAGGCTCACTCGGAGCACTCGAAGGATGGCACGGAGCCGGAGATAGCACCCATTATGGCCAAGAAGCGTAAGCTGGCCGAGGCGGCGGCCAATGGTGAGATACCGCTGGAGGTGCACACCGAGGCGAGTGGCACGAATGCAAATCCCGCTCGCCTGGACAAGCCCTCGCCATCGTTCAACTTCAGCGACATCAAGGACATCAAGTCCGAGCTGCATAATGGGAACTCCAACTCCAGTCCGCTCCTGGCCAAGCTGAGTGCAGTGGCAGCTGCCGGAGCCCAGCTAAGCACTCCCAGCAGCACCTCCGCCCCGCTGCCGCCGAGGCACTCCTTCACAGTGCCCATATTCGCACTCCACGGTCAGGGCAACTACTATGTGCCCCTCAATGTTGACTACAATGCGTTGGTGCCGTACCTGAACGGCATGGATCTGCTGGAGAAGAGCTTTACCAGCATGCCGGTGGTGCATCCCATCAACATCAATGTGAACTTTATGCCCAGCACCCCGTCCGCATCTCTGTTGGCCGCCGCTGCAGCTGCTGCTGCCGTGGCCGCCGGGAAACAGCAACAACCCGCCGGAGCGGGGATTTCCCTTTCCACTAACTCAGCGGCTGCCCAGGCGGCAGCAGTGGCTGCGGCAGCGGTGGCCAAGGCCAAGATGGAGCAGGCCATGAACCAGAGTTGGTAGGATTAGAGAGAGAGAGCAAGTCAGAGCAGGCGACGGGTTCAGCAGATGGAACAACTCTACCTCAGTACTTCTGTGAATAATCATCAAATGATTAATCTCAAAACAAAACAAAACAAATTAAGTGGCATCTGCGGCCAAGTATAAAAGAGAAAGTGAAGAGGGCAGCGGAGAAAGTAAATTCATTGGGGGTGCTTCTGAGAGCTCTAGGGATTGGTAAAACCCAAGAATATAGACAGAATGTGGGATAACCTAAAGTTAAAAACTTGTTCCAAGCCAAGAAATACTTAAAAAGTGTAAAACAAACATTTACAAATATTTATTGAACCCAAAACAGGTTACAAAGTAGAAAAACATTAACGACATTGAGCATAGCATACTTTTAGAAAACTGACAAGAGTAGACTTCAAGTCTCTGGAGATTTCAGAAGCGCCCGGCTTTATTATTCTTATTTGGTTTGATAAACCAATTCAAGAACTTGATGAAGGAGAAGCAAACAATTAGTTTTGCTAGTTAACTATTTTTGAACAAAGCATAAATGTCTATTATATAACAAAACCAAACATATATGTATATGTGTAGAAAACATGTATGTATATGATGCCAAGAGTCAGTCCCACGTAAACAGAAATCTAATGGATTTTAAAACAAAACTAAATGTGAATTAAATGTATTTTTTAGAGGTTTAACGTTTTTGCAATTTAAATAAGTGTTGTGGTTTCAAATCAGGTAGTCTAATAATGCGAACTGACTTCCCCGTCAGGCATATATAGTAACAAATATATATATACAAGAAGATATATTGATAAATACATACATATATATATATATAGTAAACCACTAGTCAGAGAACATGTACGAAGACGTAAAACAAAAAACAAACAAACAAAATGGGAGGAAAAACAAATCAAAAAACAAATTATTTTAAATTCTATGTGTAAATACTATTTGCAAGCAAATTGTCGTTCGTTTAAGTTTGTATTTTAGTGACAAATTATTTTAAGTTGGTTGGTTAACATGTGAAAAAAAAAAACAAAATCCATTACAAAAAAAAAACAAATTTAAAAAAATCCAAAAACTTTTCTATTCAAGAAAATGTGTACCACGTTTCATTCTCGAAATGCGGATATAGCAACTATTATTATTATTGTAATTACTATTACTATTATTATTATTATTATTATTATTGCTACTGTCTAACACCTAAGTTTATTGTTTCTTTGTGTTCTTGTTATTCAACAATTAAATGCAATTTCCAAGATCTTTCTATATGTCGTCACCTGTTTCCATAAAATCCTGTTTGGCAAGCTAAGCTTCGTGTGCGGCTGAAACTGAAAGTTGATATAGCACAAAGATATAGATTATGAATGTTTTATGACTCTTATTAATGTGTACGATTACTTTTACTGTGTACGGTACTGTTAATATACAACTATGTTACTGTTTAATATATTTTATAAATGTATACAGATGTAATAAAAAATGTCCGAAAATTAAACACCGCTTCTATATGGTTTTCTTTGGAGTTGTATTTTGAATGTATAAATGCTTGTGCACTTGGAGAAACAAATTGGAAAGTAAAATGGGTATCAAAATGTTGAGTTTAGGACCTTACTCGTCGTAATCTCTTTGAACACCTTAAGATGTTAATTAATGATGATTAATTGTATTATACCTTTGTAGGGTAATGATGTGAAGGAGTCATTTTCGACCCTATAAATCATATATTCTTGATCAGCATCAACAGCTGAATCGACCAAAGCATGTCCGGTTAAAAAATACATTTTTGAAATTAACCATCGTTAAAATTGTCAAAAATTTAATTTTTTTATATTTTAAATTGAGTATGCAGATTTATAACCTAATAAAAACTAAAATAAAACCGTTTTCCGAATGAAAATTAATGCTTTTTTGGCTTAGTTATGAGATTTTAAAAAACTTTGAATAGTCGAAAAAATTGTAATGACCGAATCTTTGATCTTTAATCTTAAAATTCGTAAGATGAGCTTACTTTAATATTAAAATTGGGTTAAGGCTCTGCTAGTTAGTTCTTGTAAATGGCTTTCAGTCTTAAACTGTGATGTATGGGAAAGGTTCTCGATGAGACGGCTCAAGGGCTTTTACTATAACTGCCATAGTAGCCTTTTTAATTATAACGCATTTGTTTAAATTACTTCCATTATTCTGACCATTTTTTAATGCCGGTCGATGGGTTTGTAGAGTTTGATCATCCTTACACTCCATGTGTGGAACCTGCTGGATAAACCGTAAGTATTTAATTAGAGATTAAAGTATTTCTGGAACTCGCAAATTGCAGCGAATATCTGGTTTATTTTTACTCCATAATAAGCAATGGAGACACTTTGCTTTTTCATAGTTAGGTTGTCTTGTATTTGAGCCAGCATTTTATTTTATTTTAGGACTTTTAACTGGCAAAAGAATATTTTGTTTCAATATATACCAATATATATATATATATGTTTATGTATAGTAGGTCTTTCGTTCGATTATTAAACTTGTATATTTTTTCACGCGACTAACTAATAAGATACTGCAATAACTAGTACCGAATATCGAAATGTGTTGCTAACTAATAGTAGAGTCAATAGTCAAATCGAAGTCCCGAATATCAAAAAGTATATGTACGAGATAATCGCGTGTGTAAGTATGAGCAGGATCTTAAAGCTAGATTCAAGGTTCTCTTAAATGACTTCAGTCGAGATGAAGACGCGTTTCAACCGTTTTGAAAAGCGTTTCGTTGCACTTATTAAGGTATGATTTTTTGTAAACTAAGAACTAAATACAGCACACGATTTGTTGTGTTTAGAACTGAACTAGATAAGAGCGCAACCTTAGCGAGTGTCTTACAACTAAATAGACACTGATACAAGATGTCTTTACCTTAAGGTAAAAGCTGGTTGTTCCCAAAGTTATTTGTGGCCGATAAAGGGTCTTAAAAATTGAGTTCATGTTTTCTAATAAACAAATTATTTGCAAACATCTTTTGGTTTAAAAAAAAAAAAGCTAAAACAGAGAATATAAAAAAATATTAAAATTTGTAAAACAATGTAAGTTAAAAAAAAAACTATAAAAAGGAACAACTAAAAGAGGCAACTAAATTAACAGATATCACCAGAAGATTCTTTGCTACTAAGTATTTAGGTAAGCCATAAACTCTCTTTTCTAAGTCACATTTAACTTTGGTTTCTTAAGAACATTTGAGTCCAGCTTTTACTTTTAAAAGAAAACAACTTTTTATCCTGTTCAGTGCCTAGCCCTTTAAGCAAAGTTTTTAGATAGTTCCCTGGGGTGTGCGCTTCAAGTGAAACTCCACCATGTTATCGAGGTCGCTTATGTAAGCCTTGGACTTTCGTATATCTGAGTTGAGCACGCGCAAATTCGAGGCGTAATCGGGGAGATTGAGCCTCAGACTGTCGGCCATCTCTTGTCCCATCTTCCTGGCCACCTGAGCGAACGTTAGGCGGGCCTTGCCCAGCCGTTTCAGTGGACTGAACTGCTCGTGCGTCTCCATGAGTTCGCCGTAGTCGAGCACCTGCCATTGGCCACTCTCCGTGTTCCAGGTGAATAGGATGCGGCACTCATACTGCCTGTTGTGGAATACACAATCCATCCGTCCGGTGCAATGCAGACAGTTGGCCAGTGGATGATCCCTAGCCGAAAACTGTGCCACCAGCAGGCAGCCAATCGTCTGGCTGAGGGGGCAGACACTGATCACCTCATATGCCCAGTCGTAGAAGACGTTGTACATCTTCTGGTGCTTCTGGCATAGCATGCTTATTACGTAGTATGTAAAGGTCTCCAGGTCGAACGAGTGCTGGGTGATTACCACGCTGCTACTGCTTGCACGCAGGCGCTGGTAGGAGGCCTGCGATATCATCTGCATCTCTGAGTAGCAAGAACCGTGCACCTCCATGGGCAGCGAAGTGTGATATCCCGGCGATATGCAATCGTCTGCGAGAGATCAATAGGTTTATTCAACTTCTATTACTACTCAAAATATATTTATACTCACCTTCTTCGCTAGTAATCACCGACGTGGCGTCATCCTCCTCCACATAGCGACGACATAGCTTCTTGGTGCACACCGGCTTCTCTGGCATCACGCCGCCCTGCATCGGCATCTCCACGATGCGTGGCTCCTCGCGTCGCGGCGACAGAAACGACAGGCCAGCATTGGGCGACATGGAGCCGCCAATTTCAAACCGCTTAGTCATGGTCACCTGGAGCGGTGATAGCGCTCCCAGCGGACCCACCGGCTTGTAGCTGAGCATTTGTTGAGTGGCCTGCGAAAGGGGCGGCGACTTCTGATTGAAGATTTGAGATGCAGTATTAGCATTTCGACTGGGGGAGCGCATCAGCATAGAGCTGGAAGGAGGAGAGCGGAATCCCAGATGCGGCGGCGTCTGGGCCGGCTGCGAGGAGGGATGTGGCGAAGAGGATGGCGAGGCGCAGGGCGAATTGTGAAAGAAGTGAGCCGTTGGTGAAAAGCGATGCGAAAAGCTGCGAGCCGCAGAACTGGTGGCCGAGGAATTAAAAGCCCGACCCGCTAGCCGGACCTTCGTAAAGGGTATAATGTTCTCCGAGTTGTCCTCCGAGAACTCGTATTTCTTTTCTGCCAGCCGACGTTTGCGGAACGTGGAGATCTTCTCGTACTTCTCGTTGTCCTCGGAGAACTCGTAGGCATTGGATTTATCAGTCATGGAACTCGAACTGGGCGTGCTCTGTGGGAGGAGAATTATGTATAGAACTCAAAGATTTCAAGGAAAGCGAGTAAAGTCTACCTGCAAGTCTATGGTAGTTATGCCGTTGCGATAGGATTTGGTCACTATCCGCTGGTTGCGTCTGCGCGACTGACTAGCTTCGTTGATATTAGTTGGTTTAGTTACCGGCAACGTGGTCTCTGGCAGGGTTAGGCTGCTGGGACTGGAGTGTGGCGTAAAGATAAGCCGCTCATACGCTCTGGGAGAGCAGCAGTTACTGCCAACCGTTGGCACCTCGTTGTTATTATTGTTAGAGCGCTGCGACATCTCGGTTTCAATGTCACTGAAGTCGGCTATGATGCGAGCCACAACGCTCTGTTCGCTGCCAGACTCCGCTTCCGATCCCGAAGCTGTAAAGGCAGCCGAAGCACGATCCTCTTCGCTGGAGAGCAGAGTTCTCGGCAGCAGGAAGGATGGTGACGGCATTGATTGAGCCGGAGTTTGAAGACTGGGCAGAATCATGTTCTGCTGGGGTAGGTAGCTGCTGACGTTGCTGCTGCTTGAGGTCACGGCCGGCGTGTCCACATCGATGCGCAGCATGTGCATAAAACCATTGGAGATGATCAGGATGCGCTCCGGACAGAGAAGATTGATTTTCGGCTCGAATACAGGATCCGATTCAATCGAGGAGTACTTGGTGTGCACAGTCAAGTGACAGTTCAGGCAGTGCGCATTATAAAAGGAATCTGGTAAAGAGAATAACTATTATAATTGGTCTTATTCGTATTTGTGATGTTGATGACACCCACATGGACCGTCGTCGTTGAGTTTCTTGCACTCCAAACAACCCAGTTTAGGAACTTTTACGTATGTGATGTAGCTGTCCTCGCCCTCTTCAGTGGCAGCTCCATGGATGACTAATATCTGATGCTGGGCATTCTTCCACTGCGTCATACTAACAGTCTTGATGTTGTCCACCACATGGTCGTCGAATAGACGTCGGGAGAAAAAGTAGCGCAGATGCTTGTGGGGTTGAAACAGCCAGAAATAGAGTCTGCAGGGGAAAAATCATGTTTAGTAAGAGGAAACCTTTTAATAAGCTATAACTTACGTGTACTTGTAGCCCACATTAAAGGAGTAATGGTTAAGCGAGGAGCTGTCATTGCACACCACCCGGTGGCTGAGCATATACTGGCCACAGGCTGTCAGTCCCATGAATATGTGCCTGCAAATGGAAACCCAACTTAAAAGGTAATCAAATGACATTCGCTTAATCGATGCTTACCCCTCCATCACGTTGCTGGCCAATACGTCTTTGAGGTAGAGCTTTAACCTATTTGGCACTCTGTCGTACGGAAGCTGTGGCTTTTGGCAGGCGCGTGAAGAACCAGAGAAGAAGCCAGTGCGCTGAGAAAAGATCACAGGGAAATATTAAGGAATAAAACTCTTAAAAACAGGTATTTCATTAATAAAGCATCAATCGAATAGTGATGGTTTTAAAAAGTAGGTCAGAGGTCATACTCGGTCAACTTAAGATCATTCAGAGAAAGATGAATATAACAGGGATGAGGATTATTCCACAAAAGTACTTTATGGGGTTGCAAACACATCGAGTACAAAGGAATAACCCTCGAAATCCCTAATTTCTCTTGTGTCCTTGACTTCTAAAGGTTCACAATAGCAATCTCTAGTCAAGATCTGTATAATAATTTACCCCCAATTGATCAATACTCACTTCCCTGTCGTACAGCATCTGCACCAGATTCCGTGTCCTGGCCCCAAAGGCTGGGGTGGCTCCACGGGCCGGCTCCTCCGCAGACTCGTCAGAGCTGTCCATTGTGGAGATATCATCCTCGTCAGAGGACACCCCTGATAGCGACTCGACGTCCATTTCAATTCACTTTTTCCAAAATCAGACTTAATGTAAATCCTTTTTTCTTATTTCTCCTTTCCTCCTCGGGGGAAAAGCCCCTAGGTCCTGGGCTCCTAGCGCCTCCGCAGCTGTTGGCAAGTGTCGGCTGTGCTGCTCATCGGACTCAGCTGTCCCTAATCCATTGCCTGAGTTGACCTTAATTACAGCACCATCAGTTTTTCGTTATAAATAAACTGAATTTTAACTACAACTTTTTCCTCTTTTGCGAATATTTGCCGGCGGTGTGACCAGACTAAGCCAACGAACATATGCAACGGGCACCGGTTGCCGGTTATCGATTGGTTTTAAGCGCGAAATTTAAAATAGTTCAGAGGGAATATAAGAATAATATAAGAATTTTGAAATTTACAATTTTAGTTTTTTGTTTTTTAAGTTAGTTATAGATTTCAGGTTTAAAAATAATTTTCACTCATAGAAATTTATAAAGTTTTTATGTTCCTGAAAAGAATAATTAAATTAGAATTTAAATCAGAATATTGGCTTACAATAGCATAGTGTTATATGTATCACTTTTAAATGTTTATATTTGATCTGTTGTTAAAAATAAAAATAAAAGAGATTTTACTCGCAAAACTAATAAAATTTTCAATACTATTTCTTCAACTTTTGAAATGTTTATATTAAAATGCATTAAGCTAAATAATTGAATTATTATTTCAACAAAATGTACATTTAGACTGAATTAAAGTCTAATTGTTAATCAAACCTATTTAAATTGAATTAATTTTGAAAAAAAATTGAAATAAATTGAAATTCTTACATAGAACAAAACTATTATTATTTCAACACAAATTAAATGAAAACTAAGCTAAATTTTAATTCCTAATCAAACCTATTTAAATTCAATTAATTTATTTTTAATTGAGTAAATCGAGGTGATATTTTTGCAATTATCACATAAAACAAAAGCCCTCTTCTAGCTGACCCAAAAATTTAGTGCGTTTCATATATGTGGCAACGTGACTGCATGTTCATTGACCCCACCGATGGCTTTTGTGGGTCAATTCGGTTGCGGAAGCCACTGGAGAACTCACTATAACCCCCGCCGATACCCAACCCTCCATTAATGTTGGGTTCAGTGCGCCGAGGGCTTAGGAGCTGGACAAAGTGCAGCAAGCGCACCAGAGCACCAAGAACTGGGAAATTTTGGCATTTCGGCATAAAAATGTCGAGCATGTCAGAAAAAAATCAACAGCAGAAAGCCAATTGCAGGGATCAGCGATTTTTGTGAAGAGTGGAAAGTCAGAACGGAGCGGAGTGTGGAGCTACCGATCAGCAATCGACGATCCAGGAGGAAACCTGATGCGCTGGCAGCGGCCATTGAACGCTGCCCGTGCTTATAAGAGCTCCGTGGCTCCAACTCTCAGGTTTTAGTTCTTGGTTTGAAGGTGTCGCGATTGGTGGTGAACAATGTGAAAAGTGCCTCGGAAGTCTCGATCGCGTCCTGAATTTATATCGAGTTATCTAAGGAAATAGTAGCCGTGATTTTACCCCCAGTATCTTTCTCATATCACAGTTGCTGTTTCTTTTAGATAGCTCTTTTGTAAGCAGCCTAGAACCGAATTCGAGTTCAGTGTTAGTCCTTAAAGGATCTATCGACTGCCCCCGGTTTCAATTTATGGGATACACACAGTTCAGTTTTGTCACAATTTTCAATCCTCATCACTGGGCTTTGTTTATCTCATAAGAGCGAAATTCTATCAGCAAAGGGGGCTATTTAAAGTGATAAATGTGATTAAGGGTTTAATTTTACATTAAAATTTCTTTCAATATAACTAGCGATTTTTTTTAATACATCTACAGTCCCTCATTTTAATTGGATACCAAGATTAGGGCTTACTTTATTGGTTTGACCAGGTTGTTTTTTTGGGAAGCACCGCCACAAACTAAAAACTTAGGGGACTACAATTTACAGTGTAGAAATGCAATTGGAATATAGTACAAATAATATGATATATGAGACGCTTAAGAGAGCATCTTGCGGATCATGTAGTTCAGAATGCCGCCATTCTTATAGTAAGTGATGTCCACCTCGGTGTCAAATCGCAGGATGGTCTCGAAAACGGTGCCATCAGCCTGAAAAGTAGATGTTCAAGAAGGTTTTAGAACAACACCGAGTATAATCGAGATTTCCGATATATATGTATATTACCTCCACCTGGATCTTCTGACCCGGCTTTAGGCCACTCTCTGGCAACGCAATGTTGTAGACTTCGCGACCATTAAGATTCAGGGTCTCGGCACTCTGTCCCGGCAGGAACTGCAGCGGGATGATGCCCATGCCCACCAGATTGGAGCGATGGATGCGCTCGTATGACTCCGCAATCACCGCCTTCACGCCCAACAGGAAGGGACCCTTGGCGGCCCAATCCCGGGAGCTGCCACTACCATAATCCTTACCCACGACCAACACAAGAGGGGTTCCCTCCTCACGATACCGCTCGGCAGCATCGAAGATGTCCAGTTCCTCCTGACTGGGAATGTGCACGGTGCGGGGTCCGGTCTTGGTGACCAGTTTGTTCACCAGACGGATATTGGCGAAAGTGCCGCGGGACATGATGGCATCGTTGCCACGTCTCGATCCGTACGAATTGAAGTCCCTGGGCGTGATGTTACGTTCAGCAAGGAATCGGGCGGCGGGCGAGGTCCTGGCAATAGATCCGGCCGGCGAGATGTGATCCGTGGTCACAGAGTCGCCCAGGAAGAGCAGGCAGCGTGCCTTCTGGATGCTCTGCAGCTTTGGCAGATCCCGGGTCATGCCCTCAAAGAAGGGAGGACGCTTAATGTAGGTGGAGTCGGCGCTCCAGGAGAAGAGCTTGCCCTCGGACACCTGAAGTGTCTGCCAGTCTTGGGAGCCCTGCTCAATCTTGCCTGTGGAAGAAAGGAATTAAAAGGTATTTATGCATTTAAAATAAAGCAGTAATTTGATTTAATTTAAAAACTCACTATACACTTCCTGGAACATGGCAGGGATCACGTGCTTGTTCTCCACTTCCTGGATCTCGGATCGGGTTGGCCAGATGTCCTGCAGGAACACATTCTTTCCATTGGCATCCACGCCCAGCGGCTCCTTCTCGAAGTCAATGTCCACTCGTCCAGCAATGGCATAAGCAATGACCAGCAAAGGACTGGCCAGATAGTTGGCTCTGGTATTCGGATGAATGCGACCCTCAAAGTTTCGGTTGCCAGAGAGAACTCCAGCGCAGACGAGGCCGTTCTTTTCGATGGTGTTCACCACGTTCTCCTCGAGGGGACCAGAATTTCCAATACAGGTCATGCAGCCGTAGCCCACAATGTCAAAGCCCAGCTTCTCCAGATAGGGAATAACGCCAGACTCCTTCAGGTAGTAGGTCACCACACCGGAGCCAGGGGAAAGGGATGTCTTGATGTAGGGCAGGATGTTCAAGCCCTTCTCCACCGCCTTCTTGGCCAGCAGACCGGCACCCAGCATCACCGAGGGATTCGAAGTATTAGTGCAGGATGTGATTGCAGCAATGACCACGGATCCGTGCTGCAGCTTGTAGGTCTTGCCATCGTCCCATTGGAACTCACCAAAGGCGGCCTGAGCCTCCGGAGCAATGGCAAAGCCCTTGAAGCCCACCTAAGAAAAGAAATTAAATTGTTAGAAATGATTTAAACTAAAGAATTAACAATGTAGTTTAAACTTACGGGATTAGTCAGGCAGGACTTGAAGTCTTGGGGCATGTCGGAGACGGAAACGCGATCGTGAGGACGCTTGGGACCCGAGACAGATGTGACTACTGTAGCCAGATCCAAGGTGATGCTCTGTTAAAGGAGTTTGAATGATAAGGTGAATCCTATAGGGTTCGTGAATTGTGTACCTGGGTGAACTTGGGATCTTGAGCAGCATCGGCATAGTTGCGCAGCTGCTGAGTGGCCTTTAGATACTGACGGATGATGTCAATCTTCTTCTCCGAGCGATCTGAAGTAAACAAGACATTAAGAAGGAACCTAAAAGAGCTTACAGATTCAACTTACTTGTCTGCTTCATGTAGCCAAGAGTATTCTCATCGATGGGGAAATAGCCCACAGTAGCTCCATACTCCGGACACATGTTACTAATCGTAGCTCTGTCCGCAATGCTGAGCTCGGCTACTCCGGGACCGTAGAACTCCACGAACTTGCCCACCACTCCCAGCTGGCGCAGATGCTTGGTGATGGTCAGCACCAGATCGGTGGAGGTGACCAGCGGGCTCAGTTTTCCCACCAACTTGTAGCCAATAACCTCTGGCAGCAGCATAGAGATGGACTGTCCCAGCATCACGGCCTCCGCTTCGATTCCACCCACTCCCCAACCCAAGACTCCCAGGCCGTTGATCATCGTGGTATGGGAATCAGTGCCCACCACACTGTCGGGATACAAGATCTTGGATCCGTCAGTGGTATCGTTTTCGAACACCACACGGGCCAAGTACTCCAGATTCACCTGATGGACAATGCCAGAGCCGGGTGGCACAATAAGCATGTTGTTGAAGGCCTTGGCTCCCCACTGAAATCAAAAGAATATATCAAATCTATGACACATCTCCTAAATAGTTTTGTGAAAGGTAAACCGACCTTCAGGAAGGTGAAGCGCTCCTTGTTGCGCTCAAACTCCAGAGTCTGGTTCTTGGTCAGAGCATCAGGAGCACGGGCAAAGTCCACCTGGACCGAGTGATCAATGACCAAGTCAGCGGGGCAGATGGGATTGATTTTCTCGGGATCACCGCCCAAATCCAAGACAGCATCACGCATGGCGGCAAAGTCCACAACAGCAGGGACGCCAGTGAAGTCCTAAAAGATAAATCTTAAATGAATAAAATATCTTAGTTGTGAAGACTATGTCTGAAGCTTACCTGTAGGATCACACGAGCGGGCTTGAAGGACACCTCCACATCGTTGGAACCCTGCTTGAGGGCAGGCGACCAACCCAAAATGCTCTGCACATCCTTCTCTAGGATATGGAAGTTGTCACAGTTTCGCACCGCTGACTCCAAGAGCACACGGATCGAGTACGGAAGTTGATCTGTTTAGGGGGAAATAATGAGGAATTAATTATTACACTTTATCACAAATATAGTACAGTAAAACCTCGCAAGAATCGTTCTTAAAAACACCTTTTATTTAACCCTTTTGTATCAATTATAAAAACAAGGTACTGTATCATATCAATAGGTATTATTTGTCAGTGGAGAGATAAAGTTTCGCAAATAATGATGTAGTAAACATGTATGAAAAGCCATTTTATCAAATTGCGTGATTAAAATCAATTTACTGATAGTTACTTGCCTTAATTCAAGCTGTTAAATATAGATAATCTTTAGATACAAGTCATTCTAAGGTTAAAATGTATACCCTTGTAGGGTATTATAATCTTAGTCAGAAGCTTGCCATACAGTGAAGGAGTCATTTCCGATCATATATATTATATATATTCTTGATCAGCATCAAAAGTCGATCTAACTATGTTAGAAAAAACAAATTTGACAAATTTTTTCAAAATTTTATAATTTTATAAAAGGTCAAAATTTGATAAAAATTTTAATTTTTTATTAGGTATGCAGATTTTTCCGATTGGAAATTAATTAATTTTTGACTGAGTTATGATGGATTTTCTGTGCAATGGTATAGAAATTTCGGTTCCCCAAAGCTTCCTTTCTGTTCTTATTCGAAGTCCGTCTCATAGAGGTTCCCCCTGTACTTGCTTCTGAGATAACACCCATAGCCACCACCTGTTATCATGAAGCACAATGATTGCGTTTGCTTAGAACTCAATGATGGGTACCGACTGATAGGAGGAGGCACTATACTATATACTATATGTGTAGTGGCCATTAAAGAAAAACCCTCACCTTAGACGCGACTCGACCCCCGGATGCTTGGACACGCGCTGCTCCAGTGAAAAGATTCCACGCCACTTTTAGGAAGCCCCAAAGCCCCAAAGCACCGACCGGACCACACGACCCCCGAAAACATCAGATTTTTGGCGATAAGTGTGTGTGGGCACGTAACATTAATAATACGAATTAAAATCCATAGAGTCACACACAATGAATCGTTATCACCGGTAGACGAGCCCCATTTGGAGCCCCAATCATCCATCGGTGATAACTTTCGCTTTCGGCGCGAGACGAGCTTGCAGTCGCTTCGCTATGGAAACTATTGAAAAAATTCACTTAAGGCGGCAAGCAGCACCTTCCCATTGACACTGCTTCGACTTGCAAATTAAGGTGTTCATTCGTTTTATTTTATTTTTTCAACTTTTAGGGTCAAACTCCAGTTTCTACAGGTTAAATTCCCACCCAAAATTTTCTAGTTAATGCAAGTTATTTGGAGATACCACGTCGACACTGCCCCGCCCCACTTATGGGCTAGAGATCTTATGTAGCCACTGGACTTACCATATTTGCTGTCGATGGAGGCGAGGTCAAAGTACTTGTATGTGGTGCCGGCCTGCGAGAAAGTTTTCTCGAACTGAGCAAAGGGATTGGCGCCTGTGGGGGGAGGGAGGAGAGATGTGTTATGTAAGCCGCAGGACATCGGGATCAGGTTGAAGTTCTTCTTCGGATTCGGTTCTCCGGATGTTGCACCCACCTGACATCTTATTGGGACACTTTACTGAACTTGTTGCGGACGAGCAAAGCTAGAAACTGATTGGAGAAGCGAGTCTGTCGTCGGATTGAAACTTGACCAGCTTTTTGGTATTTTATCGATAACTCCAGGGCTGAAAACTTGCCATTATCGATAAGTTGGCGAGTGGCTGAGTTTCTGAGCGCGGGCTTTTAAACGAAGAAAGTTTAGTTATCAGAAGGAACAACAAGAATAATAGAAAATTAACTATAAAGGTAAAAAATATGTCAACAAATTAATAAAGTTGAAAACGTTAACTCCTAGAAAAAAATAATTTGATTAATTAATTGAATAAGAAATATATTACATAAAAACCATTTAAGTTGCAGCTTTATAAGACATTTTAGACTGAAATTTCGTAATAAATTTGTCTGATTTTAGAATTTAAGATGCAGAACAAAGAACATTTAACATCTAGGCCAACTACGAAAGCATTTTCCGAACCATGTATTTCAAGATGCCTCCGTTTCTGTAATAAGTGATGTCCACATCAGTGTCAAAGCGTAGAATAGTTTCAAAAGCAGTCCCATTAGCCTGGAAATCAAGCATACAAAATAAATGAATTAATAAATCCTAATAATAATAGATCTTACTCACCTTAACTTGAATCTTCTGTCCCGGTTTCAAGCCACTTTCTGGCAAAAGGATATTGTAAACCTCTTGACCATTAAGTTTCAATGTTTCGGCACACTGTCCTGGCAGAAACTGCAGTGGGATTATGCCCATGCCCACCAAATTGGAGCGATGAATACTTTCAAAGGACTCGGCAATAATAGCCTTGATGCCAAGCATATGCGGACCTTTGGCGGCCCAATCCCGAGAGCTGCCGCTGCCATAATCCTTGCCAGCCACCAAAATCAGAGGAATTCCCTCCTCACGATACAGCTCGGCAGCATCGAAAATGTCCAGCTCCTCCAGGCTGGGAAAGTGCAGAGTGCGAGGTCCAGTCTTGTCAACCAATTTGTTGACCAATCGAATATTTCCAAAGGCTCCGCGTGACATGACACCGTCGTGGCCACGACGAGTGCCATAGGTGTTAAAGTCACGCGCTGTCACATTCCGATCGGCAAGGTAACGTGCTGCCGGCGAGGTCCTGGCAATAGCTCCTGCAGGACAGATATGATCCGTGGTGATAAAGTCACCCAGCAGTAGCAGACAGCGAGCCTTCTCAATGTCCTTCAGCTTGGGCACTTCGCGGGTCATGCCATCGAAAAAGGGTGGACATTTAATGTAGGTGGAGTCAGGGTTCCAGGAAAAAAGATTGCCATGGGGCACCTGTAGCGACTGCCACTCCTCAGTGCCCAGTTCGATCTTGTCTGAAGAGGGAAGGATGGTAAGTATATATCTATATAAGTATAGAGAATATGTTTAGTTACCGTACGTGTCCTGGTACATGGAGGGAATTATATACTTGTTCTCCACTTCCTGGATCTCGGACCGAGTTGGCCAGATATCCCGCAGGAACACATTTTTTCCATTGGCATCCACGCCCAGCGGCTCCTTCTCGAAGTTAATGTCCACTCGTCCGGCGATGGCATAGGCAATGACCAGCAAAGGACTGGCCAAATAGTTGGCTCTAGTATTCGGATGAATGCGACCCTCAAAGTTTCGGTTGCCAGAGATAACTCCAGCGCAGACCAGGTTTTTACCCTCGATGGCATTAACCACTTTCTCGTGGAGTGGTCCAGAGTTGCCACTGCAGGTCATGCAGCCATAGCCCACAATGTTGAAGCCCAACTTCTCAAGGTAGGGTATGACTCCAGACTCCTTTAGGTAGTAGGTAACCACTCCTGAACCAGGGGACACCGAGGTCTTGATGTAGGGCATAACATCTAATCCTTTCTCTACCGCCTTCTTGGCCAAAAGACCGGCACCAAGCATCACCGAGGGATTCGAGGTGTTTGCACAGGATGTAATGGCAGCAATTACCACGGATCCGTGATGGAGATGGTAGGTATTTCCATCGTCCCAATGTAATACTCCAACGTCCTTTAAAGCCTCTGGCGCAATGGCATAACCCTTGAAGCCCACCTAAGGTAATCAAGGAATATTAGATCTAATTAATCTCTTAAATAAGTGAATATTTACAGGACTGGACAGACAAGACTTAAAATCTTCTGGCATGTCTGAAACAGAAACTCTATCATGAGGACGCTTGGGACCCGAAACTGAGCAAACCACTGTAGCTAGATCCAAGGTGACTTCCTGAAATATTTATGATATTAGTTTAAGAATTAAATCAAGGATCTGTTGCTGCAAACCTGTGTGTACTTGGGATCTTGGGTTGGGTCAGCATAGTCCCGGAACTGCTGCGTAGTCTTTAAGTACTGCCTTATGACGTCGATCTTTTTCTCCGAGCGATCTGAAACAGATTCGGTATTATATTTATATCTATTTTTGCATTCTGAATAACCAAACTAACTTGATAGCCTCATATAGCTGAGCGTGTTCTCATCCACTGGAAAGAAGCCAATGGTGGCTCCGTACTCTGGGCACATATTACTGATCGTTGCTCTGTCCGCCAGGCTAAGCTCAGTCACTCCGGGACCGTAGAACTCCACGAACTTGCCCACCACACCCAGCTGACGCAGATGCTTGGTAATGGTCAGCACCACGTCGGTGGAGGTAACCAGCGGGTGAAGTTTACCCACCAACTTGTAGCCAATAACTTCGGGTAATACCATGGAAATGGCTTGTCCCAGCATCACGGCCTCTGCCTCAATTCCGCCCACTCCCCAGCCCAGGACTCCAAGTCCATTAATCATCGTGGTGTGGGAATCAGTGCCCATCGAACTGTCGGGATACAGGATCTTGGAGCCATCGGCGGCTTCATCCTCCACAACTACATGAGATAAGTACTCCAAATTTATCTGATGAATTATACCAGAACCAGGTGGCACGCAGATCAAGTTATTGAAGGCACTGGCAGCCCACTAAAAGATAAAATGGTATTAGAAAATATTTAATTCAAAGTTGATATGACAATTACCTTTAAAAAGGTAAACCTTTCCTTGTTCCTTTGGAACTCAACAGCCAGGTTCTTGGCCATGGCATCCGCAGACCGGGCGAACTCCACCGGCACTGAGTGATCTATCACCATCACCGAAGGACAGATGGGATTCACTTTCTCGGGATCACCGCCAAGCTTCAAGACAGCCTCCCTCATGGCAGCAATATCCACCATGACAGGAACTCCATTGTAGTCCTATAATAATATTATTAATATTATAAGAGGTATGTCTGGTATCAGCTTGTCAGATTAACTTACATGGAGAATCACACGGGCAGGCTTAAAGGGGACCTCCACATCGTTGGATCCCTGCTTGATGTCCGGCGTCCAGTTCAGGATGCTCTTTACATCCTTCTCGGTAACTTGGAAGTTATCACAATTTCGCACGGCAGACTCCAAGAGCACACGGATCGAGTAGGGCAGCTGACCTAAATTTTGATAGAACTTTTTATAGAAACCACAATTTCACCAGACACCATATCCATTGAGGAAACCCCTTAAGAATGCACCTTATCACTCCCATTGAAATATTCCACAGCTCCCAATAAATGAGTTCATACGTCACCTGTAGCTGATAGCTGATAACTGAGAACTACTGAACTTACTGGAGAGCCACGCGAATCGTTATCGCAAAAAATTAGGTGTTTTGTTTGAATGGAGGATTCCATGATGGGCAAATGCTTAATGTTGACAATGGTCAAGAGATAACTAATGAATTTTTTATTATATAATTGAAATCAATTAATGGAAAATCTTGTTTAATTGATTGTCTAATTACTTATAAATATTTTGGTAAGACTTTAATGTGATGAAATATAAAAAAATTCTATGTAATAATTTTATATGTAATACTCCTTTGAGACTCAATTATTTAGTATTAAAACATTTCCTTATTGTTGATTACAAAAAAATTGTCCAAATTTAAAAAAGTTGGTTTTACACTCAATGAGCTCCTATGTCCCGACTAAAACTTTTAATACAGATTCTTAATTTAAAAGCTTTTACTAAAATATTTCTAAATAACTTGTTTTTAAACAAACTACTTACTGTATTTGCTATCAATCGACGCCAAATCAAAATATTTGTAGGTAGTTCCACACAGAATAAATTGTTTCTGGAACTTGGCAAATGGATTTAACTCTGTAAATTATACAAATTATAAACGGAACATATCTTCTTTATTAAGTTTTTTTTTAGCTTACCAGACATTTTTGCGCTGTTTTTAATTATAATTTTCACTTTATAGCTACTTTACTGAACTTGCTCCGTTCAAGGAGCAGCAACGACTCTTATATACGATCGATGGTAACGCGCATTTTCTACGATTGAGCAGGTTTAAGATATGAAAAAAACTTAAAGCTCATTTGAGATAATAGTGATTGAAAACTTTCGATTTTCATTGTATCACATCACCTTTTAAAGACCCGCCATAGTTTTACTGTTTATCGATAATTTCACCGCTTTGCGTAGTGTGACCGTTGATGAACAATTTAGAAAATCCACGAATGTTTTTAAATTTCTTTGGTATTCTTATATAAACAGATTTAACATTATTTTTCCCATGCGCACGTTGTATTTCTTGAAATTAAACAAAATATGATGAATTTACCGGAGAAAATGGACGTGCCCAAGGATCAGCTGCGCCAGATGAACTGCGAGTTCAATCCTTTATCCCGCTGCGATGGCTCTGTGATGTTCAGTCAGGGTTTGTCTCTATGTCGGCTTTTGTAATTGAGCAATCTTCAAGAGTTGTCCGGTTCTTAAACGTTTCTAGGTGCCACAGTGGTAATAGCCGCCGTGCTGGGACCCATCGAGGTGAAAACCCAGAACCTGAGCATAGATGGCAGCTATCTGGAGTGCAATTACCGGCCAAAGGCGGGACTTCCCCAGGTGAAGGATCGCATTCGAGAGTCAACCATTCGGGATATCCTGGAGCTGGCAGTCCTAGCCGAGGCCCATCCGCGTTCCAAGATGTCGGTGCAGGTCCAGGAGCTGGAGGATCGTGGCAGTGTAGGAGCTCTAGCTCTAGTCTATGTATAATCTCAATTATAACTAAGATTTCTCCAACAGATCGATGCCTGTGCCGTGAATTCCGCCTGCCTAGCCATGATCATTGGTGGCCTGCCCCTGAAGTACAGCTTTGCCGCGGTTCACTGCATCATCAACGAACAGGGAGATTATGTCCTGGATCCAGACCAGAGTGAGACGCTTCACCAACGCGCCAGCTTCACATTCGCCTTCGATTCCGTCAACGGAGACCTGTTGATGGTGCAAACCAAGGGATCCTTCAAAATCGCCCAGTTTAATGATATCGAGTGCCTGTGCCGATCCGCCACAACGGAGATCTTCAACTTCTATCGCAGCCAGATAGCCAAGTACCATGGCAGGACCGAAGCGATAGCGGAAAAGGTGAAGGAGCAGCCGGAATCAATGGAGGCGTGATGTAAACCACAGAATAAGTTACAATTAAAGTTTGATTTATTGCGTAAGCTCCCGTCTTCTGTGAAAGTTGCCTATGCTGCTGATCTGAAGGGGAGTTCCCTTGAGCACCTGGGAGTTGGATTCGTCAATTCGGGCTACCACTAAGTCACCCACAGTCATGGGTTTAATTGCTCCCCCACTTTGTTCAGTGGGCAATTCCATAGCAGGCACAATAACTTTGATATTGGCTTCGTTGCGGCCGAACCAGTGCGTGTCCGAACGTTTGCTCTTGCCCTCTATGAGGATGAGCTGCTCCTGGCCCTCCATTCGACGATGCAGCTTGGTGGCTTCCTCTCGAAAGGCCAGCACCATGCGTTTGAGTCGATCGTTCTTTACATTCAGTGGTACATCATCCTTGTATCGACGATGGGCTGTTGTCTTCTCCCGCATACTATAAGCAAACAAATAGGCCACGTTGTACTGCACCTGCTGGATAAGGGTCACTGTGTCCTGGAACTCTTCCTCAGTCTCTCCACAAAACCCGCAAATAAAGTCACTGGAGAGGCCCACGTTGGGCAGCAGCCCCCTGATGTGTTGCACTAATTCCAGGTAAGCTTCACGGCTGTAACCTCGCCTCATTCTCTCCAAAACTTGAGTATTTCCAGATTGCGCGGGCAAGTGCAGCTGCTTGCAGACATTCGGGCGATCTCGAATGACACGTAGAACCTCATCGGAAAAATCCTTTGGATGCGGGGAGGTAAAACGAATGCGCATCTCGGGTACAGCTTCGGCTACGGCTTCCAGCAGCTCAGCAAAGGGAGTTCCACCCTTTTTGGGTTTGTAAACGGTGCTGAAACCTGGCACGGGAGTGACATTAGTTTCTTCTCCGGCCTCCACAGCACCTCTGTCCCGGTAGGAGTTGACATTTTGACCCAGTAGGGTAACCTCCTTTACGCCCTGCTCCGCCAAGGCCTTGACTTCGTTTACTATGGATTTCAGCGGTCGGGAGCGTTCACGTCCTCGGGTAAAGGGAACAATGCAGTAGGTGCACATGTTGTCGCATCCTCGCATTATGGATACAAAGGCTGTGGGGGATTCCGAGTTTAATCGCACTGGCATCACATCCGCATAGGTTTCATCGAGGGAGAGAAGTACATTTATGGCCGAATTGCCATAGTGACGGGACACGGCGAGCAGTCTGGGCAAATCCTTGTAGCTATCCGGACCGGCGATCACATCCACGCACTGTTCTTGCTCCAACAAACGCTCCTTAAGCCTCTCCGCCATGCAGCCGAGGAGGGTAAGCTGGAGGGGATGCCGTATTGGGCTACGCTTGCTCTTCATTGCTCGCAGGTGCTTCAATCGATTCCAAATCCTTTGCTCTGCTCCATCGCGCACGGCGCAGGTTACCAGCATGATGACATCTGCTTGTTCGGGCTCCTGGCACCGCTGGTAACCTTCCTTCTGCAGGATGCTCCACACCACCTCTGTGTCATTGGTGTTCATCTGGCAGCCGTAGACCTCGAAGTGCACTTTCCTTCCCTGACCATTGAAATCCACTGCATTGAGGTATGGAACACTGGTGTCCACCGGCTCCTCTTCGTTTAGTTTCAGCCTGGAAGCGGGTTTAACTGCGAAGAAGTCTTGGAGGCCGGGACCACGGTGAATCCTCTCCAGAAATGTGGCACGTGCAGCCGGCTCTGGCTTGTTTACGTTTTCTCCTGACACGGTGGCGGCAGCTGTTGTGGCTCCTTTGGGGGCAGTGGTGGAGGCATGCCGCACATGGCGAATCAACGCCCGGCAGCTCCGTTTCATGGTATTTATGTTTTAATTCAGATTTAATATCGGGAATGAATTTTAAAAATTATGCAAGTCTTAGAGATGACACTAAACAGATGGTCAAGTTATCGATAACAAAGGCGGGTGTATTAGTGACAAATTCTGCCGTTGGGTGGCTTAGACTGGAAGTGTAGTTCCGAAAACTGCCGATAGTCTTTGGGGGAACTCAACAGCCGTTAAATTTAAATTTGATAAAAATTGCGTTCTTGTAATTTTTTCTTGGGTAATTTGTTAAAGATACTAAACAAAAAAAAAAAAATGATAGAAAACATTAAGCTAATTTTACTCAATAATTGTGGCTAAGTTAGATGTATGAGGGCTAGCTACAGTATATATTTATAATAGATCATAAATACACATCCCCTGCAAAATGAGGCTTAATTAATAATTTAAATATCTCAAACCAAAACTAGAGAATGCATCCTGTCTTCCTGCACAGATAAACACTCAAAGGCAGCCAACTGATGTCCGTCTGGCCGCACATTTGAGGACAAAACCCGGCCAAAATACGGCTCAGACCGTAAGAAATGAGCCTCGGCCTCATTATGAGCTTATACCGTGGTCGTGTTAATAATGCCCAGGTGAAGACAATGCAATTGCAGGAACCACCTTCGAATGCTACCGATTCTCACTCTGGTTTATGTTTCTGTTTCTGTAGCTGTGTGCCGACATTTTGTGGCTTTTGTGGGTCAATAACTGAATAATTGCATTGCCACCGAGTGTGGGCCATAAATAGAGCCAAATTCGTTGGTATGTCAGTCGATAAATGTTACTAAATTTAAGTAATTACAAGAGCATAAAGATAAGAGTTAATGGTTTAGCAATATATTTTTAGGTATGCATATATTTTCTTTACTTGTAAAGATTTTTACAAAGAAAAGATTAGGATTATGAATTATGCCTTATTTTGGGTTTAAAAAAAAAAATCAGAAAGAACTTCTAGTGAAGATTTAAACATCATAGTTTATCTTAAATTGAAAATTAGTTCCCTTATTTTTGCTTTATTAACCGAATATGTATCTAAAAGATACATAGAAAACTAGGAAGGAAGGAGTAAAGGCAGACGCTGGCACACACACACACATATTTTGTAAACACTTACAAGCAGAGAAATATTTTAATGAAAATGAAATGAAAATTCCACTTTCGGCCAAAAGAATTTCGTAATTACAGCGAAAAAATTCGGTAATTAAATTCATGAAGTTTCTGTCGGCGAAACCGGAGGGAGCCAGGAGCCAGGAGTCAGGAGCCACTTGGGTGGCCCTCACTCGCATCCTTGTAAGTGGGTCTGGGTCCTTTCTGGGCAACTGGGCCTTCTGCTTTCCGCGTTCTGTTGGTTAAGCATTTTCTTGTATTTTGTCGGCACTTTTCCGCTAAAGTTATTTTCCCATGAGTTTTCCCTCTAGTCCGCTGCTATAAATCTTACAGTTCGCTTCGGTGGTGGGGTTATGTTAGGGAGTTGTGTGTGTGTGTGTGTGTGTGTGTGTGTGTGTGTGTGTGTGTGTGTGTGTGTGTGTGTGTGTGTGTGTGTTGTTGGGGATAGGTTGGAGGTCCTGCTGGCGGGTTGTGTGCATACGCCAAGAAGCTTAAGCTTAGGGCTAGTTGCCCAGCCAGCAGGACTTGTGTATCTCAAGGAAACTGTCAATAAATAATAAATAATTCAATTCTACAAATGCGTTCTATATTTAGTTGTGGCAATTAATCCGATAATTCTACTACCGAACACGAACTCCCGACAGTTGACAATTTGCGAGAGCTTTTTAATCGAAAGAAGTCCTGGGGAGAGGTCCTTGTGCTACAGGGTCTAAAATAAAGTGGAAAATAAATTTATTTCCCCCAGAGATGAAGTTGGAAATAAATAAATAATGCTTGGGAAAAACGAACGATAAATACAGACACTTGATTAACCTTTCAGCTCTTCTTTTTTTTGGGTTGAGTCAAAAACGTAACTCGTTTTAATACAATATATAATTTATGATTTTTTTTAAGCAGATTAAAGTAATAGTTCCTTTGAAAAGATCTTGGAAAGATGTAACTGTTTTTGTTTGTATTCATAAAAACTCTGGTTTGGTTTAATCTTCTACTTTCTTTTCTCTCTACTCTTCTTTAAATTGCATTTTTCCTATTTTCAATCTAGAATATTATATTTCAAATTTTTTATATCAATAACTAGTTTTCCCCTAAAAACCACACTTAAAATGATCAGAAAAGTGTGACTTAACTTTTGCTTTCTCTAACCTGGACAGTTTTCATACCAAGAAGCCCCCCTTAACTTTCCGTTAATACAAATTTGAATGTTTAAATCCCACCGAGACACACCTTTGTCAACCTTCCTACGGTCACCCCCCTCGGCGTCGACCGATTTTCACCCACTTTTCCGCATCGGAACCCTCCACCAATGCCACCAACGACACTTTGAGGCCCCATAACGCGGGCACACGCATAATGATCCCCCGGAATGGCTCAATGCGTGGCAACTCGCAAGCCAGCCGGAAAAAGTTTACTTACAGCTTACAGATTTCTATTTTTCGGAAAGCCATTTTCCCAACCCTTGGGGGCGCATTTTCCAATGCAAGAAAGCGGGAAAGATGCTGCTCGCAAGAGGAGAAGGGGAGAAGTGGTGCTAACGGCTCTGCTGAGAGTAATTCTCCCCACGCAAAAGACAAAAAAAATACAAAGAAAGGCAAGCCAATGTTAATAGAAAATGGTTCCTTGTCGCCGTCTCCTTGGTTGTCGTTAAATTGAAATTGTCGCGGAAATAAAAATTTGCATATTTTAGCATTGATTTTGGTGAGGAGCTACTATATGACCCCTAGGGAACCCTGTCGGTGGTGCACTCAATAAATTATATTGACTTAAACTTATTTGGAGATAGATTTAATCAGGGTTTAGTTGGGGAAAAAGTATAGTTTGTAATAATTTTTACTCTTTCTGTAAGAGTTGAAAATATATGTAAAGGGAAATATATACATATATATAAATGATTTCAAAGCTGACTTTATTTTGTTTAAGTAAAAAATAATTTGTTGTACATAGTTTACTCAAATAGTAGAAATAGTCATTGGTCACATCATATTTTTGGGGTCGAAGGGTAATCACAACAATAACACTATGACTTGAGATGTTAACAGCGGCGATGCCGCGGACGGAATGAGGCCAGAGCGGCAGCAGCGCCTCTATTTATAGTCACAGCGGAAAGAGAAAAGAGAAAGTGAGAGCGGGAGCGTAAGTGATGTCGCTAGAGTAAGGCTGAGTAACATAGAGCGTAAGCGATATCGCAATAGCAGCAATGAGTATGAATGAGAGAGCAAGAGACAGGGAGCGTGGGAGTGAGTGTGAGAGTAAGCTATTCACTGTCTCTATAATAATAATAATATTACAAGAACGTAAGCTAACTTTCTAACATTTCTAGAAATGTTCCGATCGTTCCGATATCAGCTATATGATATAGTCCTTCGATCCAACCCGATCCAACTAAGTGCAAAGTGCCACACAAGTTTGTGTAGATACGGACACCTGTCCGGCGGACTTGGCTTGATTGGCTAAAGTGTTGATTCTGATCAAGAATATATACACTTTATATGGATTGCTGTACAATCGTGACTAAAATTATAAAAATAACCTTAATCTTGTAGCATTAACTTATCCCTACCGTTCATATTTCAGCGAATTGCATAAACTAAACAACATTTTTAACAACCTAATTGTTGTACATACATTACGTTAATTGTAAAACATATTAATTCCTTTATTAAATGTAATTAAAAAATTACTTTAATCTATCTTGTACCTCTCCCTACCGTCCCACCCGTCGTATACGCAATATTTAAGCAAGTTACCTAAACTAAACAGCATTTTTTAACAACTTAGTTGCTCTACATACTTTACTTAAATTGTAAAAATATGTTTTACTAAATGTAATTAAAAATGTTACTTTAAGCTATCTTAAACCTATCCCAACTGTCCCCACCCCATCGTATACGCAATATTGCAGTAAATAAATTAACTTAAAATTAATTACAAGCGAGTTGCATATACATATAAACCAAACAAAATCCAATTGACCAAAACCGGAATAGTGAATAGGGAGCGTCCTGTGTATTTCTCATTACTGACTGCCAGTTCCAGTTGCTGTCTCTAGTAAATCCTGACGCTGTCACAATAAAATCCACTCAAGCTAAACATACGTCAGCGGTGACGAGCCTTGGTCCCGAGCCCGAGTCCGAGTCCAAGTCCTGGCCAGAGTTCTGCTCCCTGGCCCAAGTCGCACAAATTTATGCCCCAGAAAAGCAAGAGCAACAACAGAAGAGAAAAAAAAGGAAAAAGAAATAGAAGGCAATCTCCTCCTCTTTGACGCTGGCTATAGTGAGTCCAAGGCGCAAGGATATAATACCAAACTGCTCATTGATTTATTTACGAGCTCCTCTGATGGCCCAGCAGCTGTCCATGGGCGGGGCAGCTGCAGCAGCTTCAGGGATGCAAAGTCCTTAAAGGAAAGATCTTTCAACTTAATTCTTTTTTTAGAAAGAGGAGAAAATCAAGCTCAACAATTATTACATCAAATTAATCATCATCATCATCAGAAATTCTGTCAAAAATTACATGAATTCCAACTCGGAAATTATTTAATTCCAGCAATATTAAGCTTTTACTTTTCAGTTATTAAAAAAGTAAAATATATTAGGACTCTTATTAAATATTTATTAATTCATTTCAAATGAGTTTCAAGGATTTCCCATTTGTTTTCCGTATAATTTTTTGATTTCCCATCCCTGCCTAACAAATTGCAGCTAAATTCTGGCTTTTCCTCGAGCTTCTACTGGACAAGGCTGCCATATCCCATCCACATTTTAGCATTTTAGCTGCTCCCTGTCATCCCACCCTCCCCCTCTGCCGTCGTCTTTGTCCCTGTGCCTGTGACTTACATAAAGTGTCCTCGACTTTCTCGCAGAGGCGTCGAGTCATTTAGGCGCAGGTCGTAGATCTTACAAAGCAATGGCTTTTGACACTCGAATGTGAGCTTCAGAGCCTACACTTGAATTTCTAC